GTTCAACTCTCTAAGCATTGTCAAAACAAGGTCAAAAGTTGAAATTTAGCGAAAAAGGAACATACATGTTTGAATCTTAAAAAAAACTAGACAAATACAAAATTTCATTACAATTTGTATAAAATATCTTGAGTAACTGCCTTAAGTTTCATTTTACAATATGGTGGAAGTGTAAAATTCAAATCAAGCTAAAAATTTAATAAATATAATGGAACATTATGTTGAACCCCAATACTAACTACACAAGTACCAACTTTTCATAACACCCACCAAGTTTCAGGACTTGGCCTTTAAAGTTTTTGAGAACATATTTTTTCAAAATCCAAGATGACTGACAGGGGCCATATGGAAATTCTGATTTTGATGCCTTGAACAAACTTGAACTCAATTATAGTAACAAACATCCACACAAACTTTCAGCTGAAGTCATGAAGTCATTTTGGAGAAAAATTCAAAAATGTAAAACGTTTCAATGATATAACCTTACAGTTATAAAGGACAGGTGAGATAAAAAATGTATCAAATATAGTCTGGTTTGGTTTGTTTGTTGTTGTTTAACACCACACTCAGCAATATTACAGCTATATGACAGCAGTCTGTAAATAATCAAGCCTAGACCAGACAATCCAGTGATTAATATCATGAGCATCGATCCATGCAATTGGGATTGATGACATGCATTAACCAAGTCAGCGAGCCTGACCACCAGATCCCGTTAGTCGCCTCTTACAAACAAGCATGGGTTGCTGAAGACCTATTTTAACCCGAATCTTCATGGGCCTATATACAAATAAACACATAACATGTTACTATATATAAGCAAGCCACATATATTGTATTCATATGGCTGAGGCACTGCTGGCCAGCAGGTACGTAGTGACTGTCACAATGTACTTAGAGCAAGCTTTGCACATCAAGTCAAGTTGCTAAAACTTCAGTTCCTGGGTCTGTTTCACATCAGAGGACTTTTCATTGTTATAGAAACACACATTCATGGAAGTATGTCTGACTGGTAACTCAACAAGTCAAAATCATGTTTGCCATTGCACATTCAACATCATTATGTCATGTGCAGTATGTATGGACATAATAACATATACTGTATTTCACCACTGTCAAATAATGTAGTCAGAACAAGACAAACAAGTGATTGATACTATAATCAATGTCCCAGGCTGTCAAGGTACGACACACACTGACTACCCGATCCATTTTGACGCCTCCTACAAGTAAATTTTATTGCAGACAAATTGTACCCTGGCATCCCACACATGATATTTTCAATGTGGCAGCCAAGAATAGGATAGTAATTCTGGAGACAAATTTCCTGGAATCCTATACACGGTACACAAAATTTTAGCTTCATAAACCCAGAAGTTTCAGGAGATCTGACAAATGCAATAAAGCTACATAAACAAGGTAATTCATATGTCAAAGGTCATAGCTGGGTAATGAATCACAGTATGCCACTAGCATACCATGTGTAATTCCAGTTAGTCTTGGTTCTCAGGCACAGCTGCATCATCATAAAGGCTGCCACATTTATTTCCATTTTTTAAAGAAAAGAGAGAAAAAAAGGGTAAATATTCCGCATCTTGGACACAGACAGTGAAATGCTGCAATACTAGAATAATGCGACCCAACATAGCAGTTACTTCCCTTTACTTGCACACTGATTTACTGCGCATCTCGTGAAGGATTTGGGTGATTTAGTATTAAGAATACTTAACATCATAACTTAAAAGAATTCTTAATGCAGTGATAAGAAGACTTTGCATCTCTTACAACTAATGTTCATTTCAAGGCAAGTTCATAGTGCGATCTGACAATCAGTTCATACATGATTTCACCGAAAAAAATGTAAACAATATTGAATGAAATACTGAATAAAATTAATATCATAGATTACAAACATATGTCCAGTTAGGCATCATTTTATATCCAGATAGTGTAAAAACTTGTATACTTCAATACCAATTTGTTAACATGCTATTTCCAATGTTATGTGACTACAGTAATGTCTTCACAGTGTGAAAAAAACTGTTATGCACACACTGGTACTTGTAGTCAAACATTGCACTCCAGATTACCCTGTTACTTTTGTTATCTTAAACCTGTTTGATACTAGAAGCAATATATATTTGTTGTAGTATTTAAGATATTTTCATGATCCCAAGTTTCATGATATTTTTTTCACGGCGATTTTCTAAAGTTGTGTTGAGAAAATTAATACTTATTCACTGTGGATTAAAAAAACACATATATACAGCGTCTATTAAAGCACAAAATATGGAAGAGTTTTTGAGATGCTCTTGATAGCAAACATTGGATAATATGAAGTTTAGTTCTGTGACTTGAAAATTAATTAGTAAAATCTTAGATAGTTTATATATTTGTATACTTATCCTGCATTACTCCTTAATGCATTTACTGCTTGTTCTTGACAGAGAAAGAACTGTGCAAGGTCCTGCAGAAGAAGAAGTTGTTCCAACTGGTTGAGTGGCTACCCCTATCACACAGCTCCCATGTGACAATGGAATGGTTGACAACACTGACCACAACATTACTGCAAAAAACAGAGCATCCGAAGATATCATGGGGAGGCAGCTCTGCGACAAGTTAGCCCAGGAGTAATGCAGGATAGATGAAGTAATCCAGGATAAGTACATTCAAATATAAAAAATATCTAGGATTTTACTAGATTTTTTTAACTTATACTGCACTACTCCTTAATGCATCTTTATCTGACGGCCCTTGAGAAGGGCATACCTTCAGATGTGATCTTCAGTAAACTCTCCATAGACTCCAACCATGCAGCAACTTCTATGTCTGGCATTGAGTGACCATTCCTGTCAGCGGGGAAGGAGAGAGTGATGTCCAGATATCATTGCAGTAATAGAAATTAAACGTAGTTAAAGTAAAAAACTGACGTACTGAGCCAATGTGTGCAGCATGTAACCTTCTAGTCTGGGGTGACACACACCGGAGAGGTCGAAAGGTCAGCCCCAGACATGTGGAAGTGTCAGTGGCGTTTTGTGCCGGTGACCTGCTTTGGAACTACCAAAGGGCCAAAGGTGTGGACGCCTTCTATGTCTTCCAGGGCTAAGCCATAGGGCGATTGAGTTGCGGCTGCAAGGGTGGCGATGTTGTCCTTGATGATTCTTGGAATGTCGGATGAAGCACTGCAGCGTCCACACAGGACATAGTAGGAGTTTCTGATCATCTTCAACCACAACCATCAACTTGGATATGAAGTCCCAGCACAGCCCAAGATGAGCTACTCCATGCGCTCTGCGCTCAAAACGAACACATGTAGTTTGCTCACTTGTGTTGCTGTTGTCAGAGCCAAGAGGCCAAGAGGAAGACCATCTTCTTGGTAAGGTTGCAGTAAGACACCGAGTGGATTGCCTCAGTAGAACCACCACGTTCAGATCCCACGCCAGGTGTCTGAATTTGACCCTTCTGGTCTTCCAGACGAAACAAGCATAACAACGCTTGGAGTTCCGGAATCTTGGTCATCTTTCGATCCTCAGGAACTGCCAAGTTGGAGCTAAGGGCCACAAGGTAGGTCGTGATGGTGTTGCCCTTCAGACGAAGCAGAAACAGTAGAAACTAGAAAGTGTTTTTACTCGTAAAAACATATGTCTCCCCCCACTCCCCTAACCCCCATTCATTTGTTTACTTCACGTTAAGCCCCATCTGTTCATTCCCACAAAAATAATTCACAATATTTTAATTCTAGAATTGCTTTGAATTCAATAATATTGAAAAGATCAAATTCTTAAATTTCATTATAAGCAAAAGACACAGAAATATTGAAGGGGTGTTGAGTTTAGTTCTGGAACAAAGCCCATCCCAATACAGAGTCTAAGTTAAACTTGTCTCCATAAACAAGAAAAAATAAAATGTGAAAAACTTCTAAATAGCAAGAAGCACCACTTCAGGACTTGGTTAATATGTTACAACTTCATGAAATAATATTGAACAGTTTTTGAGTTATGGTCTGGAAACAAAGCTTACCCCCATTCAGAGTCTATGTTCAAGATATCTCCATGGAAACGAGAAAAAATAAAAATGTCCAAAATCTCTAAATAGCAAAAGGCACCACTTCAGTGCTGGGTTAATGTGTATACAAAGTTTCGCGAAAAAATATTAAACAGTTTCTGAGTTATGGTCAGGAAACAAAGCTTACCCCCATTCAGGGCCTATGTTCAACTTATCTCCATGGAAACGAGAAAAAATAAAAATGTCAAAAATCTCTAAATAGCAAAAGGCACCACTTCAGTGCTGGGTTAATGTGTATACAAAGTTTCGCGAAAAAATATTAAACTGTTTCCGAGTTATGGTCCGGAAACCAAGCTTACCCCCATTCAGAGTCTATGTTCAAGTTATCTCCATGGAAACGAGAAAAAATAAAAATGTCAAAAATCTCTAAATAGAAAAAGGCACCACTTCAGTGCTGGGTTAATGTGTATACAAAGTTTCGCGAAACAATATTAAACGGTTTCTGAGTTATGGTCCGGAAACCAAGCTTACCCCCATTCAGAGTCTATGTTCAAGTTATCTCCATGGAAACGAGAAAAAATAAAAATGTTCAAAATCACTAAATAGCAAAAGGCACCACTTCAGTGCTGGGTTAATGTGTATACAAAGTTTCGCGAAAAAATATTAAACGGTTTCCGAGTTATGGTCCGGAAACCAAGCTTACCCCCCCATTCAGAGTCTATGTTCAAGTTATCTCCATGGAAACGAGAAAAAATAAAAATGTCAAAAATCTCTAAATAGCAAAAGGCACCACTTCAGTGCTGGGTTAATGTGTATACAAAGTTTCGCGAAAAAATATTAAACGGTTTCCGAGTTATGGTCTTGAAACCAAGCTTACCCCCATTCAGAGTCTATGTTCAAGTTATCTCCATGGAAATGAGAAAAAATAAAAATGTCAAAAATCTCTAAATAGCAAAAGGCACCACTTCAGTGCTGGGTTAATGTGTATACAAAGTTTCGCGAAAAAATATCAAACGGTTTCTGAGTTATGGTCCGGAAATGGTGGGAACGCCGACGCCGACGCCGATGGGAACCGTGCCAAAAACAATATGTCTCCCTCCATTCTGGGGGAGACATAATTCAGCTAAGAATTGGGGTGACACAGAGGTGGGATCCTGGTGTTTCTCCTTGCAGAAACTCTCGAAGGAGCGCCAATCGTCGGCCCCTGGTAGAAGGCCTGTGCGCCTAGGTGATTGCCTTTGCTGCCCTTGCAGTGTGACCCTTGGTGCTTAAAGCTCTTTTTAGATGGACCAGGAGAGAAGATGTACGCTTTAGTCATGACCCGGGGATGCTCAGGGTGTTAACTAATCAGGCTTGTGGATCGGGCACCATGTCTGGACCTGGAAGTTCAGGTGGCAAACAGGTTGATGTTGGGGTAGCTGAGGTATTGACAGACAAGACCAAATGTGTCCAGATAGGTATTCCACTCTGAGGGAGGTACCTTGTCTGATCTGGAGGGGGAAGGCGCAAGGATGTTGCATCAAGGAGACACTGTCTAAGACATTCGACTCCACCGTCCACCATTTGAAATGTGGTTTGAGTTGATCCGGGAGGAGGATAGCGACTAATGAATGTATCTGCAATGATAGCAGAGTGTAATCAAAATGCGTTCACCCCCGATTATGTATGCCAAAATCATTTATCCCAGCCATGTGGTTCTATGAAGACTAAGTTTACACAAAGAATGGGAAACACCACCACTTTAATAACAATAACATCGCAAGGGTATGACAATGAATTGAAGTACCAAGCAATACAAAGAATACAGAACACATGATACAAAAAACGTGATCACGAAATGAATTCAAAATGGCTAATTGGAACAACAATATACCTGATATTTTACTGTGGTAAAAACAACCACCAGGCATCAAATATTAATGCTATGGCATAAATCATGGAAAGATGTGAAGACACAAACCATAAGCACAATAACAATCACAATGTATTATAAGTGTTGCAAAACACACAAAGGATTCAAATGGATTAGAGATGAAACTCTCTATGAGGTGACAGCAGTAATGTGCTGATCAGTGACGTCACCCCTTCCATACTCCCATGGGAGCTGTGTGATAGGGTCAGCCACTCAACCAGCTGGAACAACTTCTTCTTCAGCAAGACCTCACACCTCTCTGTCAAGAACAAGCAGTAACTGCATTAATGAGAAATGCAGGAAAAGTTAAAAAATCAAAAGCTTGGTCTTTCTGCCTGAACACTAACTTCTTCAAATTGGACTAGGATATATATGTGTTACTATTTAACTCATCAAGGAATACATTGTTGTAGAGTGTCCCTTTCTGAGGTTGATTGTACACAACTGTTTATTTGGTCAACGGCCCACACTATTTTTTCAAAAGCCATTGCCTGAGTACCAATTTCTAAATTAAAATTAAACATAATAAACATGTAGAAATGATGCAGTAATGAACAAAAATAAAAATGTTCATATTGATTTAGCGACACTTTCAATGGCTCATTGATGCAAAGTTTCAGCTTTACAGTTTTTGTAGTTTCAGAGATGTCAAAAGTGCAATACATAAAAACAGTCAAACACAAAAATAATATTATGAAGATCTGTAATATTGATAATTAGTTCAATCAAAGGTATTTTCCTTTGTATTACAAGCCTGGATGCAATCATACCATGGCACCAAATACAATACCAAATAAAATATCAGGGATTCTTTTCAAACAACTCTTTCTGATAGTTTTTCCCGTCTCCGAAGGAATTTGCGGACATTCCATTCTGTGTGGTTCATCATGTGAGGGCCACTGTAGATTCCAAGGATGGTCATATTGTCTGCATACTCAAGGTCTGGCAGCAGCTGCAAAATGTTACAAGAAAGCTTTCAAGTGAGGCATCAACATGGCTGCTGCAATTTACAACATAATTATGATGGCGGTCTGTAAATAATCAAGTCTCGACCTGACAATCCAGTGATTGACATAATGAACATCGATCATGCAATTGGGATACGATGACATGCATCAACCAAGTCAGCGAGCCTGACCACATGATCACTTTAGTTGCCTCTTTCGACAAGCATAGTTGCTTCTTACTACAAGCATGGATTGCTGAAGACCTATTCTAACTCGGATCTACATAGGTCTCTTCTTACCTGTGAATACATGACACTTTAAGGATAGGAACTCCTTTTATCCTTTGTCATGATGATTCAGCCTGAGCAAGGAGCAAGAAGTAGCTCTGACACGTCATGACAAAGAATAAAATAAGTTGCTATCGATAAAAAGTGTCAAGTGTTTATGTTCTTCCAACTTAAAAATGCCTTCAAAGACTTCCCTCTCACCTGTGGTAGTGAATGATCAATAAGGATATCTTGGAAAGGATAGTTTTAACTGAGTATAAAGTCACATTTTGTTATCGAAAAACAACAGTGCGACGGTAAGTTATGAACCATTTCAGTAAATTTATTGTGCAAACGTTAAACAGAATAAAAACTTAATTTTCGTGGTCATCATATCAGTTGCAGAAATGAGAATATATGGGTTAATCTAGCGTGTCATGTTATAAAATTTTCAGGATACAATAAACGAGTTTTAAACATTTGCCAATCCTAATTTCAAGTGTTTTTGTTAAATATTTTCGCCACACACAAGTACAAATCCTGTGTCATAATGCTTGCAGACGTATGAAAATCAAGCATGATCCACTTTGCTGGACTATTGCTCTTTTAATATCACTAAAGTTTACATTGCCTTCATATATATACCTTGGCAGAAGAAGACAATCTTCTAAATCGAAGTATGTTTAATTTTCCGTTGAATATGGCAAAAGGCGGGGAGTGAGTGAGTGAGTGAGTGAGTGTAGTTTTATGCCACTTATAGCAATATTCCAGCAATATCACGGCAGGGACACCTGAAATGGGCTTCACACATTGTATCCATGTCGGGAATCGAACCCGGGTCTTCGACGTGATCGGTTTATGGTCTCCATATATATGAAAGAATGTACTCCATGATAAATCTCATTCCATTTAAAACAGTGATCTACAACACGAAACTTACCAAAACTTACTCTTTTGGACTCTTAAATCCTACCAGAAAAAGCAATTACGGGTACTTTCAAAACACAAGCAAATATCAACCCCATGACATTCATGGGGCAGGGCTCGGAAATCAAAACACCAACAATGTCCTACAAATCACAAAATGAAGAGCGGGTTGTCCTCGTAGTTATTCAAGGAGTACATTGTCATTAATTAATGAAATCTTTTAAACATTTATAAGCTGCATAGATCCATTCTGAAGGAACCAATGTACTTTATATTCCTGCCCAAACAACTTTGCAACGATGTTTACTTCACTTAATTATGGAAGTATGTGTCGTTTTCCAGTTGGGCCGTAGCCAATTCTTTAAATACGATAAAATGTTACTGACAAATTCTCTCCAAATCCATGTATTGACTTGATATATATATGCAAACTTCAGTACATTGTCGTGAAGGATCATATTTTCAAAAGTATTTTATACGGACACATTGTCACCATTACGTTTTTGAAGATGACGTGTACATGTTGCACTGATGCCAAAACCGCTGCTGTTTTCAATGAGCCATACTTTCGTAAGTAACGGTAATTTTCTTTGATATCTCGATGAGAAATCCATCAAATTTAGATAATTTGGTATCATTAAAAAGCATGTGATTCTGCCAAACGGAATATATCGTTCCTTCTGACTTCTAAATTAATGGCAATTGACATGCCTCTGTCGAATATGGGCATGTAATCTTACAGTTCCCTTCGACACACAGTCTACAGGTTCAAAAACTGAAATTTGATTGTCTTGTTACGATGCTTGAGGAAGTTTTCAGACTCATTCCCTCAGCAGAAGTCCCTTAAGAAGTCAATTGTTGATGGCCGGACAAACAGCCATGCCATAAGCTCACTTGGACCTTTGGTCCTGGTGACCTAAAAAATAGGATGGGCCATGGAATAAGTTCTATTCTGCTATTAACCCAATTAATTTGAGGAAATACCCTTTGTTAACTGTCATCTTACTTTGGGTGTCAGCAGAAAATACTGTGAGGTGGACTTTTTACAAACAGTCTGAACAACCAGCTCAAACACTTTCCTCTCGTTGATCGGATCCATACCCTGGAAAAATACCAAGCGAGAAAGTATGTACATCACAACAAAACAACATTCTGCATGTAGGGAATTATCACATCATATCAGAATAAGTATTTAATATGTGAACTATTCAAATATCAGTAAATTATTTGTTTGTTTGTTTGTTTAACTCTACACTCAGTATTCCAGCTATGTGATTGCGGTCTGTAAATAATCAAGATCGAAATTCCAGTGAATTCCAGGGATCTGTATCAATCTACACTTTTAGGATACAATGACATGCATCAACTAAGTCAGAGAGCCTGACCGCCTGATCTTGTAAGTCACCTCTTACAACAAGCATCGATTCTTGAGGACTAATTCTGACACATATCTTCATGGAGGTAAATTATTTCTAATCCTGATGCAACAGTATCACCCGGTTTGTAATTGTGCATTAGTGTAACCTGGAGACTCATCCTTCCTAGTGACAATTGCCATGTGCATGGACTAGACATAACTTCTTACTTCGCTCATGATGTGTGTTCACCAATCCTGTATCATCAGCTCTAAACTGTTGGTCATTGCAAAGTTACGTTCCACTCTTGTGTGGCTGAATCTTCTGCCAGCCCTGCACCAGGTTCAGTGACCCAGGACCAGACAAAAGCATCAGGAAGGGAAATGATATTCCATGCACAACAGATGAAGCAGGTACTGGCAAAGTTAAAAACTTCGCAGCAGGCACTGGCAATGTCAGATATGCGGTACACCAGTTGCAGTAGAAGTGACAGGCATTGCACTAGGCTGAACCAGGCCAAAATGGAGGTGGAGATGCCATATCAGGTGCAGGGCCTAGATTTTCGAAACGATCTTAGCCCTAAAACTAGAAAGTGTTTTTACTCGTAAAAACATATGTCTCCCCCCACTCCCCTAACCCCCATTCATTCGTTTACTTCACGTTAAACCCCATCTCTTCATTCCCACCCTCCATTACTAAATAACAGAGACAAAAATAGAACTCCTAGAAATTTCAAACAACTAATGGGCACCACTTCAGCGTCTAATCAACACCACTAATCCCTCAATTATTTACTCACCTGACAGTGTAGTCATCTAAGTAGCACAGTTTTCTTGTTACTGAAGTATTTGTAGAAAATCCAATTAAAGTACTAATAGAGTTTGGACACAATATAAATATTCCCAACATATCAGAAATGATGTAGCAATGTTATATGGCACAAAGGAAAGTCTCTGTGATGTAATTGCCCGTGTATCTGACTCTGCAGGTCTTCTACACAATGACATATGTGATGTCATGGAAACTGTAATAGCAAGGCACCACACCAGCTCTCTGATGCGAAAGATCCTTGACATAAATATGGTCAATAACAGTTTCTTTCCTGGTAGTGGACACTTCAATCAGCTGCGTGAAGGGTTCTTGCAGAAGAGGTTGCGCTTTGTTTGTATTGAGGTCAATGTTGAAATCTCCCAGAAGAACTGTACTGTTAGTCGGAGATAGGTCCAACATTCTGTTCAACTCTTGTCTGAAGTAGGGAATGGGAAGGGTTGGTGGTCTGTACACAGAGAAAACAGAAATTGATGAACACTGCAACTGGATGCCAAGGCATTCCAGTCCTACACATGAAGTGTCAATGACTTTGTAGGAAAGATCCACTCCACCCTTTCCTCTCGTTTTCAATGAGTCTGGTACACTAGAGGCTGAGTTGTACTGATTTCCCCTGCTACATGTCAGAACATTGTGGGTAGGCAGTGGGTTAGTAAATGACTGATTTGGAAGAAGCCATGTTTCTTGAAGGGCTATGATGTCTGCAGCTGGCAGAAATCTATTTGCTGTGAAATCTTTCAAGTGAGGGAGAAATCCTTCAGTGTTGTGGCCCACAAGCACCAGGGAATTTGCATAATCAGGAATGTTTGGTGGTACTAGGTTATTCCATCTTGGCAAACTTGTAGCAAGCGGCATTTCTGAAATGGCATTTTCTACCCTGCTGTCTGCATAGATTCCACTTGGTTTATAATCGTCCTTAATGAGGAACAAGCCATTGAGTGATGTCACTCTACTTAGCGCAACATAAGCCATACCTGCTTTAAATATTCTGTCTAATGAAACAACAGCCTTGTCTGTGGTCATTCCCTGCACTTTGTGCACAGTCACCGCCCATGCCAATTTAAGTGGAATTTGGTGACGGGTAACTTTAATTGGCTTGTGGTGAATAGGTTCTTTTTCAGGTTTGATGACCGTGGAACATGGGTCAATTCTTGGTGGAGGTGGATGAGATTTCCTTGCGTTGCGTCCAACTTGGTCATCATCAAACTTGACACACACAGCTGTAGGCAAGCCAAGTGGGCTGTTTCCTGCAATGATGGATGTTACTGTTCCAAGAACACCATTTGAAAGGCCATCTGGTACGTCAACATTTGAGCACAAGAGGACACGTGCACCAATGCAGAGAGTTACACGAGGTGGAAGTTTGGCGTTGTCAGTTTCCATTGGATTTGTTCTTTTGTAGGACTTGTTTGAGGTAGCTGAGAAACAAATATCAGCTGCAGTGATTGTTACCAATGGAGTGCTTTCAGCTCGTTCAACAAGCAGTGCTTCATTGTGATATTAAACGGTTTCTGAGTTATGGTCAGGAAACAAAACTTACCCCCATTCAGAGCCTATGTTCAACTTATTTCCATGGAAACGAGAAAAAATAAAAATGTCAAAAATCTCTAAATAGCAAAAGGCACCACTTCAGTGCTGGGTTAATGTGTATACAAAGTTTCGCGAAAAAAAAATTAAACGGTTTCCGAGTTATGGTTCGGAAACCAAGCTTACCCCCATTCAGAGTCTATGTTCAACTTATCTCCATGGAAACGAGAAAAAATAAAAATGTCAAAAATCTCTAAATAGCAAAAGGCACCACTTCAGTGCTGGGTTAATGTGTATACAAAGTTTCGCGAAAAAATATTAAACGGTTTCTGAGTTATGGTCCGGAAACGGTGGGAACGCCGATGCCGACGGGAACCGTGCCAAAAACAATATGTCTCCCTCCATTCTGGGGGAGACATAATTATCGTAAAGTTATCGTAAGGAAATCGTAGGCTATCGTAGCCTATTTTCGAAACTATCATAGCCCTAAGATATCTTAAGTTTGTCGTAAATCTAAGATAGACCTATACCTGTCGTAAGTTTATAGTATCTTTCATGATGAAGATAACAATGATTTGATGACAAGACTGAGGATATTCCGAGACAGAACTTGACACCTCGATACGCTTGAATACTTCGAGCTATTCTCCCGCTATAGATTGGTGTCGTAGCTCTGAGCGATCTGCTACAGGTTTACGATTGTTTCGAAAATCTATCTTATCTTAGCCTGAAGATATCTTATCTTTGAACGTAAGTAGTTAAGATTTATCTTAGCTAAGATCGTTTCGAAAATCTAGGCCCAGGTAGGCAGGTAATTGGGTAGACAGATCAGACTTTGGTGAATACTGCATCCTAAAGTACATCATATTCATCATCCACAGATGAAAGTAAGGAGGATACATCTTACCAAGGCAAGGAAGTTAAATGACTATAATAGTCCAGATTCCACCCCTTACTGATCTTGGCTGGAATTTCCATGCTCGATCCTAGAGCCACCAGTGGCTATTACGAGTTATGTCCCTTTTATGTCCCTCCTATTGACCATCCAGATTCCACCTCTCAATCACTTGCAATTGCTTCAAACAAAATGCCAGCACCCAGTCAAGACGATCTGATCGATAATCAAGATCAATATTGTAATAAAACAGGCCTTACCTTGCGAAGTGCATCAAATCATGTGAGCACCATGATTGAAAACATGGAAAGATTAATAAAATATCTGTTAACGCCCAGTTGGTGGTACACATGCTTTGCAAATCCTTTAGTTTACTGAAATCTGCACGTTGAAATCCATGTGGTTTATGAATCAGATAGATAATTTTGATTGAACAATCTTATTTGTCCAGCAAAAATGTAACTCCGGAATTCCAGCCTTGTTGGGCAAAGGTTGAAACTGGACTTTAATAGTCAGTTAACATCCTTGCCTCGAAAAGATGAGAGGATATGATGCTGAAGGCATAGGCAGGTAGTGGCACACTTTAAGCAGGCAAAGTCTTAGTGGAGGCAACCGCTCCTAAAGTATCAGGAGAACTGAAGACTAAAGATGGAGCGATAGTCGGGGAAATGACAACGAGTTGCAGGGGAGTAAAAAAAAAAAAAGCACTAATAGAACAAGGCAGGAGGGAGGAGCAAGCATTGTTGCATATAAAAGCAATGTCATCGGACACAGAATCCAAATGAACTGCTTTCAAGATATTGCCCCGCTATAAAAAGTAACAATACTTTGGTGTTCAGTGTTGTGTAGGGGAATACCCTTTCTGTCCACAGCCAGTAGTGGAAGGGAAGTGAATGGGATGAAATAGTATTCTGTATAATGATTTGAAACAAAACCATTCTTCAATGGGATAAAATATTTTTCTGATTAACGATCTGAAACCCCAGTTGTTTATTCTACTCACCCTTCTTTATTGCAACAATGTAGTCAAAGTGAATGGCATGACTATGCATGATTAACAGGCATCAAATACATATCTGACCTGATTGATTTCATCAACACATCTGAACGGAGATTTGGCCAGTTCTTGTAGCGCCATCATATAAAGAACAGTAGCCACGCTCCTTTCACCTCCACTCTGATGATGGGGGGTCAACTCTCTCAGTGGTTCACCATCACGATATTTCACTTTTATTCTGACTCCATATTTTTCATAGTCCTCCTGAAAATTAAAACACATGCATCCTTCAGGATTGGCTCTCAACTGTCCATGCATTGATACTTTTATTCATTGACACAGTGGTTTCAGATCTAAAATAAGTATCTATGCCTTGATTTACAAAGTGCTGGAGGTGTATTTAGACTTGCAAGTGACAGATTTGAGTGTGTCAGGAAATAGCAAGGTCATAAAATAATCACCAGTCGCTGTGACTGTCATTATCTCAACATACTGATATTATATTATATGTGTAATATTATATTATATATGTAATATCATTAATAACAAGAGGACAAAGTGTTGATAAACCTAAACTATCAAAAGGCATCAGTTTACCACCAGACCTATCTATGTGCCAACTGAAGAAATACTGTACAGTTTTCAAGATCTCCGGAAACGACATCTTGCACAGACGGACGAACGGTCTGACGGTGTCCATATAAAAAAAACCTCAAAATGTGCTGCAGGGATATAAAAAGGACACAAATATAGACTGTAGGACATATAAAAGACATTCCTCTTCCCTTAATTGCAAGTGTCTTCTGCTAGAAAACAGTGGATATCTGACTTTCTATTTACCTTAGTTCCATATTGTTAGCAATGTGACCCAACGGAGATACTCCGTGGTGATATGGGTGCAGTACTTCTCGGCGAGACAGTAAACGCCAAGTCATTGTGTTACCAATGTGACCCAACGGAGATACTCCGTGGTGATATGGGTGAAGTACTTCTTGGCGAGACAGACAACACCAGGTCATTGTGTTACCAATGTGACCCAACGGAGATACTTCGTGGTGATCCAGGTGAAGTACTTCTTGGCGAGACAGACAACACCAGGTCATTGTGTTACCAATGTGACCCAACGGAGATACTCCGTGGTGATATGGGTGAAGTACTTCTTGGCGAGACAGACAACACCAGGTCATTGTGTTACCAATGTGACCCAACGGAGATACTTCGTGGTGATCCAGGTGAAGTACTTCTTGGCGAGACAGACAACACCAGGTCATTGTGTTACCAATGTGACCCAACGGAGATACTTCGTGGTGATCTGGGTGAAGTACTTCTTGGCGAGACAGACAACACCAGGTCATTGTGTTACCAATGTGACCCAACGGAGATACTTCGTGGTGATCTGGGTGAAGTACTTCTTGGCGAGACAGATAACACCAGGTCATTGTGTTACCAATGTGACCCAACGGAGATACTTCGTGGTGATCTGGGTGAAGTACTTCTTGGCGAGACAGACAACACCAGGTCATTGTGTTACCAATGTGACCCAACGGAGATACTTCGTGGTGATCTGGGTGAAGTACTTCTTGGCGAGACAGATAACACCAGGTCATTGTGTTACCAATGTGACCCAACGGAGATACTTCGTGGTGATCTGGGTGAAGTACTTCTTGGCGAGACAGATAACACCAGGTCATTGTGTTACCAATGTGACCCAACGGAGATATTTCGTGGTGATCTGGGTGAAGTACTTCTCGGCATAAGGTCAATACCAAATCATTGTGTTAATATGTATCAAGGGTGATACTGAACACTAATGCAGACCCATGGCCACCCATTGACCCTACTGTTTTGTTTTATGTCACTATTCATTTGACCTATTGTTCAACCCGTGGAAGCACCCATGTCACTTGCATGTACCATGTGTTCAGTCTAAGGTGCTTAGAAAAACACACAAAAAGAATACTAACTGGATTTTCTGGAACATTGATATCAACTTCACCAGTACACTTCATACATGTGAAGAAATAACCAAAGTTGTCATTTATGCGGTAAATTAGTTGTTTGAGAGGCTCCAGCCAGTTTCGCTTAGCCTCCTCGATTTCTTGGTGGTGGTTATCTCGTTCTCTTGTCCGTTTCTCAAGATCACTTTGTAGGCGATGTATCTCTTTCTTGCGCTGCTGGAACTCCCTCACAACCTTAAACATAAAACTCTCCATATTAGGTCTTGATGCTGGGCCACCTACCAAAAGTTGGCAAACTTTAAACAGGATCAGTAAAACTATAACTGTGGCAATCCTACTGGCTAGCGAAAATAAGAAATGTCCTTATTTTCTTTTCCTTTAAGGCTAAAACATTTATATTCTTCGTTCTCAGGCACCATCCACATCATCCTAAGCTGTGCCGAATGTTTTGTTTTATTTCCATATTTTTTTTTTTTTAAAATCCTTAAATATTCCAAGTCCAAGGGTAGTCAAATACTGTATTCCAGTATTTTACTCATCAAGGATTACTTTTTTTAGGCCATTCCCAGGTTGATTGTACACAACTCTTTATTTGGTTGCACAACTCTTTTTTTAGTTACATACTTGTTTGAACAACCAAAATTTATGCAGTGACAACAAAAAACAATTGAGTACGATCAAATGTTTATTATATACAAGACATGGCATAAGATTCGGGGGCTGACTCGGTGTTGGAAAGGTAACTTACCCTGCTGGTAAGAAGTATAAAAAGGCAGCCCTGCGGGTTGCATAAGCCGTGTGTGAAATACGCTTCAGTCGGAAAGCGCACGTAAAATCTCCTAATGTAAGTAAGTAAGTAAGGTTGCATTAGTAAATTTGAAATATATATGAAAATGATTTAGAACCCTGCGGGTAGATCTAAAAAAGGTTATACCAGATAAGAAAAGTTGCCCTGCGGGCAATGTAATTTAGAGACCCTGCGGGTGTGAGTGAAATGAAAATACTTTATGGGAGGCAAGCCATATAATGATAGTTTACAGAATGATTGACTTGCAAATCCCAAAGCGAGGTAAAAACCGAGAACCCCCAAAGTGATAAGAAAAGTATAAAATGAGTGATATAAGATGATAATGTTAAATATGTACATATGAGAATTAAAAACTGAATCCAATGAGTTATATTATCCAGGTAATGTCACAGAACAAGATTGAACAGTGTCAGGAAGCACTGATGAGCGTAAGTTGCACCGACAGGAATAACAGTTCAGTCATGTGGGTTGAGGCATTTGATTGGAAGCAGAATAATGTAAGTCACAACACACACGTTGGTCAAGCCTCTAGTGAAAGAAAGAGTCACTCATAGCATAATGCTAGTTGTGCTTTCCTTAATGTCTCTTCTGGTGTTCTGATGTATCTGGTGAAACAGTCTGAATGATCTCCCACACTTGCACTAGCAGCTGTAGTTGCTGCACCAATGGGGAATGAATGTCCAGAATAAGCACTGGATTCTAGCCTGCCCTGGTGAGAGCAATGTTCAGCCAGGACAAGAAGACAGTTCTAGTAATAGCTCTAGAGTTCAATTCCACAAAGAGAGGATCACTGGGTCTTGCTCCGTTCAACTTCCTAACTTGAAGCCATGTCATAAGGGTCATGTAAGGACACAAAGTTTTAGATGTAGCGAACAACACTAGTTGCACACCCTTTTGAAGGGATCTGTTTGGAAGCTTTTAAGGTTAGGATGCACTTATGTTGTGTCTGTTCAAATTGCACATCGTTCACTGCTAGATGTACATCTGGATCAAACTACGAAACACAAGTAAATTCTCCACAACAGAGAAATCCAAAATAGGCAGTTATGCACATACATTGCATAGCCAGATCGTTGAAATATCCAAACACGCCTGCTCGTAACTGAGCCACTAGTTTACATAAAACACTGTAAGTAATAGGCAAGCGCTTCTTTGTAGATGTTGATTGCATTTTCTTGTAACCTCTTAATAAAGTCTGTAGTCTGTGTACAGCTCCTGAAGATACATCGTCAAAAAGGGTCATGATACCAGCTTGGAGGTACATGAACTTGATGCCGGCCAGGCAAGTTTTCCCAGTGTCATGTTTCAGTTTTGCACTCCAAAACAATGAGCAACGAAATATTGTAGATACCGCATTCGACGAAATAAGCGCCCAGGGCGCTCTCAAAATTAGAAAAGGGGGGCGCTTATTAGAATGAAATTTTGGTTAAAAAAAAGAATTGAAAGATCGCAAAATTCATGGTTTGGCGAACGCAGAAAACGACCTGTGTCCGTATTTTATAAATAAATGTCTCGTACAAATAATACCATGTGCATTCTTGTACGTATTAACTTAAAAATGAGCATATTTGTGATAACGCAGCGCCAAATTTTACGATGCTTAAAATAGATCATCGGCGCCATTGCTCGGAAGTACCTGTAATCAGCAGGTAAATTTGAAAAATATAATATAAACATGCGCTTTGTGTTTGTGATTTTCAAAAACAGATGTATATTTGGCTTTGGCATATATATTTGGCTTTTACGACAAGCATTAAACATGATAAACGAGAAAACTTCTGAAACTGGAAATAACGAACACAGTCATTCTGGGATTATGAATTAATGTCCCATCAATCTGTCACTTGAATTCTTTTTTTAACTGCTCAAGGATAGAGGTTTCAGTGACATGGGGAATCTGGAGACTCGTACTCGTCTCCGCTTTAGACATCTTCGTACGCATCCTCAGGGTCACTCCATTCATTTATGGCGTCCAACTCCATGCGTAGATTATCCTGCTTTTGTTGATTGGCTTCAAGCTCCCCAGGTGTCGGCTCATCAAATCCATCAAATGGGTCATCGGAGTCTGAGTCATCTGCGAAGAGAATTGCATCCTCGGCCCCATCCAAGGAGTTGCTGATTCCACATTTAAGAAATGATTTCCGGACTGTGTCTGGAGACACAGAACTCCACGCCTGCTTGATCCATTTAAGGACCAAGGTTTTTTCTGGGGGCTTCCTGTTGTTTCCCTTCGTCAAAACAGGCTTGGCATTGAAGAGCCAGTCGTCGTACTGGTCTCTGTAGGCATCTTTGAATGGCTTGTTCCACGACACATCGCACGGTGGGATGCGGCTTGTGCACCCACCGGGGATTATAGCAAAATCGCTGTTGTAATCACGTGACAAGGATTTCTTTATGGCGGGGGTACGATGTGCTGAGAAAGAATCCCAGACAAGAAGCCTACGAGTTTGAGCATTTTGTCGCCAAATACGGTGCAACCAAAATTGCATTACAGCCTCGTTAGCCCAAGCTTTGGGTGTCATCATGACGACTATGCCAACAGGGACGTCTTTGATGGGACAAACACCTTTCAACAGGACAAGTGGGGGCATTTTAGTACCATCCGCATATGCAGCCAAACAAACAGTTAGTCTAGTTTTTTCATGTCCTGTGCTTGTCATGGTAATGGTTTTAGAGTCTATTTCGTCCAAAGTTGAACTGCCAGGCATATCGACCCACACCGGGGTTTCATCCATGTTTGCGATTGCAGAGAGCGGGTAAGACTGACGCCTCCTCATGTATATGATGTAGCGAAGAAATGACATCATCTTGTCACTCAGTATAGCTTCACTTTTTTTACCAACATGTGTCGCTCTACGGAAACTGATTTTATTTCTCTTCATGAAAGATCTCAACCATCAGCAACTTGCTTTAAACGATAGGTTTCCACCATCCCTGTGCAAACGTAATGCCTCTTGCTTTAATGCTTTCCCTGTAACACGTGTGCCTTTACTGCGACGATCTCTCATCCATGTTAGTACCTTATTTTCAATGTCAGGGAAATCTATTTTTCGCCCAGCCACAGTTTGCAATTCTTGCTTCTGTTTTAGCCATTCTTGCACACATTTTCTATCAACCCCAAAATGTTTTGCTGTCAATGTAATGTTAGACTTTTCAGCAAACTGTATCACTTTTAATTTGAATGAAATGTCATAAGAGCAAAGTCTCTTCCCTTTGTGTGATGACAAATCGTCATTCATGCTTGCAAAGTGACCGTTACACTTACCACGATTTTGCACCTAGTGACCCCGTAGTAAATGTGTAATGAAGCATGATTGGTCAATATAGTAATCATGTGACTAATATTTATTACCTGTCCTGGGCAGTCGTTACTATCAATAAAACAAGCATGGCCGATATGTACAAGTTTGACAGCTCGGTTAGAGGATTTCATGTTTATCGTGATATGTGGCAGCCCAATGAAGGTGAAGTATTATCAACCAAAAGAGAACCTGATAACCCATCCGATAAATTTGCGGTGTGTGTTGTTAATGGTGCGTGTGTGGTGGGACATTTGCCCCGGGAACTGAGCAAGACACTTTCGTGTTTCATAAAGCATGGCGGTGTGATCACTTGTGTCATCACCGATCCAGAATATCAACATTCAGAAATCGCAGAAGGCCTCGAGATACTGTGTCAGCTACGCTGCTTAGGTTCACCAAGATTAGTTGCCCGACTGAAACAAGTTCTACAGTCAGAATAAGTAAGTTTTTTTGTACATTGGTCAATCGGAAGGAGGCGCTTATTGGGATGTTCACTTGCCAATATATTAGCAGACACCGCCATGGGCGCTTATTAGAGCAGGGCGCTTTTTACGTTGAATACGGTAAGTCTCACTTATCAGTGAGAGAGTGGACTGGAGTAACAGGTTGCTGACTAGGCTGAATTTCAACAGAAAATTTACATAGCACTGGAAGCCTGTAGAGTATGCAGATTTAGTGCCCTGACTGATAGCTGCTGCCACAGGGTACTGAGGTAACTGTTCAGGTCCACATGATGTCTGAGCTGGGTGGGCAGTGTTGCACGGAAGTACATCTGCCTGCAGCACCAGTCTGCGGAATTTCTCCATGTGGAACCGTGAAAGAGAATCAGCAAGTTTGTTGTGTATTCCGGGCACATGTTGAGCTAACAGAACAAAATTATTTCTAGCTGCCGTCCAAGTCAGTGTTCTCATCAAAGCCATTATCTTCCTGCATTTTGATCGACCTTTCTTAATAATAAACACAGTGGCCTGGTTGTCGCAAAGAAATAGCACTCGTCTCGTCTCCACAAGTTTAGCAGCAACCACGATAGGATACAGCTCCATGAATGCCATAGAAGATTCGTGCTCCAGGAATTTGTAACGTCTGATGGCCATTTCTCTGCAAACCAGGCCCCATTGAAGTATCCACCATGGCCAACCGTTGCAGCTGCATCAGTATATAGGTTCAAGTATGAGGCGGATGTCACTTCTACGTCATGAATTACTGATATGCCATTCCACTGTGACAGGAAAAGGTTCCACATGCGCAAGTCGATTTGACAGTCTTGAGACAGCTTAATATGATGATGCAGTTTGGCTACACTGGTTGATAAGTCTAAAAGGTAGGACACAAAAGATCTTCCGGGGTGGGGGGGGGATCACACGACAAGCAAAATTTAAGGATAGGTGTACCCTGCGGGTATGGAATTGGAAACTGGTGGCTCTGCTGGGCCAGGGCCGTGCCGGCCTGTGAGAATAGGGATACCCTGCGGGTAGAGAGGTGTAGAGGGGGCAGATTATTATGGAATTGAAGGATAGGTGTACCCTGCCGGTATGGAATTGGTAACTGGTGGTTGCGCCCTGGTAAGTAAGGAATTTGGGGGGGGCCTCAAGCCATGTAATACTGCTGCCTGAGGCATGCAATGGCTTGAGATGTGCAAAGGTTTGAGATGCCCTTACCGAAATAGTGTACCTTAGCACTGCAGGTGCCCAGTAGTGAATGACATTATGGGAGTATATAGGGAATTTATCTACATGGATGTTGGTTAAAGATCACAGGGCTATGGGAGAATAATACTAAAACAAGGGCAATCAGCCTGACACGAGTGATAAAAAACCCATTGTAAACAATTTAAGAAACAAACTGAGAGCGAGACAACTGGAAGTGGTAGTGTAAACAATCTGCCATACGAACACATGGGCAATGGATACAATTAAAAGATACTAGTGGTGAGTGGAAAAGTTGAAGTGTTAGGGTTGAGATACTACTGGATGAACTGCATATAATGACGTAGATGGTATTATCATTGCACAAACAAAAATATATAAAATTCACGTTTTGTCCAATGAAAACACGACAAAGGGTAGAAACAATATAGTTTAATACACATTGGGATATATATATGGTATATACAAGGGGGCTGTTCGGTCGCACACAGAAAGTCCTGCGGACAGGAAATAGTTCTAGGGCCGTGCCGGCCTGCGAGAATAGGGATACCATGCGGGTAGAGGTGTAGAGGAAGCAGATTATATGAAATTGAAGGATAGGTGTACCCTGCGGGTATGGAAATAGAAACTGGTGGCTGCACCGTATCAGGTAATTTAGGAAGAGACTGACTCGCTGTCATGAGTTGCTGATCGGTCCAGAATAATTCTCTTCTTTTTTAATATTTCCCTTCAGCGACACCTAGAGGACGGACTCTATACATGCTGTATGGTGGTGTCCCGAAGGGTCCAATCACATAACCCCTTGTGACGTCTGTTTCCACTGCTTTAGTGACAACATCTGGGGCTTTGCGTGCCAACAGATTGTTCCTACATTCAACAGTGTCTTGGGGGAAAAGAATTTAGGATGGGGGAAAAACCATCCTCCAAACCGTGAATTAGAAAATTAACAAAGTTCCTGTCTGGATGAGAAGAAAGTTCCAGATGCAAGTTTGTAACATTGATTGGTGGTAATGGGTATTGGGACGTCGCTGGGGCTGGGAGTCAGTTCTTGTTTTGCTACTGCCGTGGCCGTGGCATTTGGATTGTCCATGTGAAGTGCCTTGACACTTCATACAAACATGTAGGAATGGGCAGTTGTGTCGAGTACATCCAAAGTCATTAAAAATTGTTACATACTTCTCGTCCCTGATTCAAAACACGTGGACAGCCCCTTGAGTGGGTCTAATGATTGTTGATTGATCTGTTGTTGTTATGAGTCCCAGGTCTTATAGGTGGTCGTCTGTTGGGGTCTGCCACATTGGGACACTGTTCTGTGTTGTGGGTAAAGCTATGGCAAACATTACAAGCACGAGATCGGAGGCCAAATGAAACTCTTGTCCATAGTCTCTGATCCGGTATGTCCCACCTAATGCTGGTGCCTTCCTCAGAAAAGGCTGCCACTCTTGCCGCGAACAACCTGTGGTAATCATAGTGGGCTGTCCCACTATCCTGAGTGGCCAAATCAATCACTGTCTGTTCATGGCCGTCCAGTTGACGTCGCTTCTCTGCATTGCCAGCACAGTATATGTCCTTGTATATTCCAAATGCCTTGATGAATTCTCCAAGTGTTAATGAGCAATTAATCCTTGGTTCATCACATAAGCTGAAAGTCTGTCCATCAAAATCTGACACTTGATTTGGCAGAAGAAGCAAGGCTAAACTGACATATTTACCTCGTTGTATTCTCCTTTTTAGAGTGGATGAAATGTGTGTATGTGTGGCAGTGAATCCGAGGGTACATCTTTGTGTAGCTGTCTGAGAACATCACTACTTGCTCCTGTGGCTTGTCTTGACTCCTCTCTGGGGTTGTCGTTGTCACTGGTGGTGGTAAATATACATGTAGGAGGTTGTAATTGCTGTCCCAAGTTCATGACAATAGACTTCAATTCGGCAATGTCCCTTTGAATGAAAACACTCACTGTATTTTCTGTGGCACTAGCAGAATTTATCAGAGCAAAATTCTGTGAATTGTCTCTCTGTAGCAGCACATCATCACTGCCTTGATCTTGACTGACTGGAGCTGGTTGAGAGATCGTAGCGGTGGTGACCGTGCTGTTGGTGCCTGTCATCACCCTCAGATTTGCATTGTAGATCTGCATTGACACCCATGTCTGTCAGACGTTGTCGAATATCAGCTGCTGTCAAATATGGAGAGCTTCCTGTAAGAGGAAACTGGGCTAGATGCTTCGCCACGATCGTCGCCATTGTTGTTTTCATGCAGGTCAGAGGTCATATCCTGGTTAACTCTTCGAGTTGATTATGATCTGGCTTTAGATCGTCGTCTGTCAGCCATTGTTACGATAAAAACAAACAGTTGTACCGCATCACACGACAGGATGGCAAAGGATTGTTGTAGATTTTCCTTGGATGACCGTGATTCGTAATGACAGCTGAGAGAACAATGGAAACAAGCTGAACGACATTGAGACTCTTGTTGTTAATATAGTTAAACAGAATGACGTCACATCCTTAGTACTCAGCATACTCTGTAAAAACATTCAGGGATAGAAAATAGTACTTGATACAGAGAAGAAATGTGATCGTTCACGGAACTGGAATTATAGGGAAAAAACCTTACATAGGTGACAGAGAAGAAATGTGATCGTTCACGGAACTGGAATTATAGGGAAAAAACCTTACATAGGTGACAAATATATACATCTGTTGTGTCGACATCAATGATAAAAATAGGTGAAAGGCTATGTTGATCACTACACAAACAAAAATATAAAATTAACATCAACAACAACAACAAAAACATAAAAAGACACCGCCCACCTTCCCCATATTTTCAAAAGCCATTACCTGAGACCCAATTCTTTCATTTTTTTAAGCCTAAGAGAATGAAGAACTGACAATGGAAAAATATTGGTGACATACGTATGTAAATAAGTGAAATTGTCTAGAATAACATGTTCCAGTTTTTTAGCCAAAATTCTGTTGGAGTGATTTTTCTGTGGCACTGGTTTGGTTGGCTACCTGAAAGAACAGGGATTGTACTGGATAATAAATTGCCCATAGCAGGCAAATTGTGAAAAAGAAACTTGGCAGTGATTTTGCTGGAAGACATGACTCTGAATTTGTCAACATTTGATAAGGATATTTAAATTGAGAATATACAACTTTGGGGCTGACTAAACCGACCTCTGAGAATGCCAAGAGAAATCCCTGGAGTGTGACATTTGTCGAACCCTGCCTACCACACCTACCTGTCACAGTATCAGCAACCAATTCTCATATACATCATGCTACATACTAAAGGAACAATAGCAGAGCAACAGTCATGTTTTTATTATTATTAAAAAATGCTTTCTTTTGAACAAAATAAGACTGTTAGTAATAATGGTACTGGACTACCAGTAGTGACAGTGAGAGTACACTCCTAGTAGAAGCCTTACCCTCTCATCAACCTGGAATGTGCAATCTGCCCGTGCCTGTTGCTCATGTATCTGCGCATCTATTTCCTCCAGATGAGAAGGACACTGTTCAAATGCCTGAAACAAAAGAAATGAACTTGAGAATTAACCGATTATGTTTTGTGCCTTCAGAGAATGAGGACCACTTACTGGGATTATGGTTGTCTTGTTGACGTCACACGAGGACAACTGGTCCATGGCAAGTCATGAATGTTGTCCTCTACAAAGAGATGATATTGTGTTTCAATTAATATTAAGGTGATTGGCAACTTCGTTATGTGCCATTCCTGTATGCAGCATACCTACGGCACTTAGACATTAATTTTCAGCAAGCCGTGCATTGTGTAAGCGTTATTTACTGTTTCAGACTCTGTTGCTAAGTAATGCAGCGGTCATGAACCGTGCAGAGGTCATAAACCATGAAGCAGTAGTAGGACCCAAAGCATCGAGACATGTGAACCCGGATGGTCTCGTTGGATATGTTATTTGTACTGGTTCATGAACCCGAGATTGTCCCTGGGATGTGTAAGTCATGGGGTCGTGGATCTGGACCATCCCAGCCGTGGCCACAAGTCAAGGTCCTCTCGTGAAAAACAATGGAAGGTTAGCATGAGATCGCCTAAAGTCCTGAGGACGGAAGAGCATGGGTCCTCCAGGGAACACTCAAGTATTGGTACCACACTGTCACTGAAACCATTCAATACAGAACTACTGCGTGGTTGAATTCACACACTAGGATAAAGATGATTGGTAGCATGGACACGGGTTGATACGTAGGTATATCAAGTTGCGATTAACACGTGGTAACATGGTACTATCTGTAACTACACTGAAGTGCACACTGACTGTTGAGCCTGTCGAATGGTAACCTCAGGGGTTCAATGTATCTCGTGAAACAGTCGGACTTCCAGCAACCTAAGGTCCTGATAAGGTGATCTTCATGCGGTCTTGGGCTGCGCCAATTCTATGGGAGTGACCTGAAAATTTGTCTGGACGTAGTCCGGCTCGACGTAGTATTGTGTTTAGCCAGGTTAAGAAAGTTGCTCTTGTGATAGGATGGTAGCTGACGTCTACGAAACGCAGGTCGTAACTAGAGGCTCCACATAAAAACTCTGATAGTTAGCCGCCACTTGAGAGCTCGGAAGGGGCAAACCTCGTTAGAAGTAGCATATAGAGAAATGTTCACTCCCTGTTTGAAGGGATCAGCTTTAGAAACAGTCAAGTTCAAACAACGACACTGTCGTACATTGTCTATGATAAGATCTTGCACACTGTAGGATTGAAGGTGTGGTCACAAGTAAACTTGCCATACCTCATTAACCCCCAAAATGCTATGACCTACATCGTTTCCATAACCTGGTCATTGTAGGGACCTAGAACTCCAGATCTACAGTCGTTGATGATTTTGCACAGGATCGGGTATGTGATAGGAAATCGGTTGGCTTTATCTGGCGCTTATAGGTGTTTAAATCTTTTCAACACAGTCTGTAGTCTTTTGAGGGCTCTGAGAGTCGAATAATGTGTGCATTCCTATCTCTAAGAATGTAAATCTGATCCCGTCCATATAACTCGTCACAGTGAATTTCATAGAACCAAAACAATATGCCAGGATATACTGCAACTGTCCTTCAGTGATGGGGAAAAAAATTCAGCATAGTAACTTGTCCAAGAAACAGTCCAAATGTAGGGAGAAAATGTACGTAACAGTGGAAGCCTGTGGCGTAAGAACTGCATGTACGTGTAGCTGCTGTCCAAAGTCATAAGGACTGTTGCTCAGGCCCACATTATTTGGGAGGGCACTCTGCTCCTGGTGCAAGCGAGTGGAAACTCTGCATCTGTAAACGAAGCATCGGCATTGGCATCGGCATTGGCATCAGCAATATCATTAACTGTTCCTGGCACATGCTTAGCTCTAACTATAAAATTACAGATGAATAAATACCAGGTAATAGTACACATGAGCGACATGAGTTGTGGACATTTGGAGCGACCTTTGTTGATCACATGCACTGTAGCTTGATTATCGCATAGAAACAGGATATGCTTTGTTGACCAACTACTGCCCCACAGTTCTACCTTGAGTGTTATGGGATAAAAGGAAAGCTATTGAGCGACGTTGAGCTGGTCCCAGAATGTCTACAGTCCACTGTTCGGTGAACCAAGCCCCATGGTAAAAAGCGACAAACCCAGAAGAAGCCGCTGCGTCTGTGTACAACTGAATATCTGGGACTGCTGTGACATGCTCCTCATGGAAGAATGACACTCCATTCCACTGTCTGATGAACAATTCACACAGTTCGACCAGATTTGGACAGGGTAACTCGATAGGATAGTTTCTCCACGGACTTAGACAAAGTGATCAGGTAAGACACAAAAGATCGGGAAACCTACTTCAGGTGTCCCAAGAGTGACAGCAGCTCTCTTTGAGAACACTTCTTCTGTTCAGAGAAAGTAGCACCGATTCTGGACAGTTTATCTCCTGGGAGATGGGCCGTCATAGTTCAAAACAATGCCGAGGTACTCTTGCTGCGTTACTTTTGTTTGCTTGTTTGTTTCTTGTTTAACGCCACACTCAGCAATATTCTAGCTATATGACGGCGGTGCTGCTTTACTGGGCCTACTGTTTTATGTGCTGCCAAGGGAATGTTCCGCTTCTTAAACAACTGAATCAGAGTGTCCATAGTGTGTTGAGCAGGATAAGTATACGTAGGGGCATCAATTGTCAGAAAGTCGTCCAGTAGATGCGCAATAAAAGACACACCATAATTGGGTGTCAATATCCAGCAGATGGCATGGGAAAGATTGTCAAACATGGCTGAACAACATCTGAAAGCCAACCTTTCACAGAAGTAGTATTTTCTCTGCCATCAAAAACCGAAAAATTCCAAAGGGTGGAGTGGAACTTGTTTAAATACATCAGTGATGTCAACCTTACACACCCATGCCCCTTGGCCCACTACCTTTATCCTTGTGATGGTCTGATCAATAGTCATGTAAGTCAGAGAACAAGTCTCCTCGTCAATAAGTTCACTGATACATGTACTCAGATGTCGTCTTCACAATTTGTGGCTGATAAGTCAAGTATTAGTCTTTTCTTTTGGCCCTATTTACCGACGGCCTGCACAAGGGGGCTAACTCTATAGGGACTAGTGGGCGGGTGCTTGTAAGGTCCTATAATATAGCCCCAGTCAAGTTCTGTTTGAATCAAACTTGTGACAGACTCGGGATCTTTCCTGGCACTTAAATTATGAGAACATTCCACAGAAGTCACTGGGACAGGAGTCACTAAGATGGGAGTCACTAAGGGGTCAAAACCCATATCGAGTCCATTGAGAAGGTAGTCTGCAAAAGTGTCAACAGGATGGGTAATAAGTTCTGCGCTCATTTCTGTCATATTCAAAGGTGAATTCCCTGAAACTTCTGAGTGTTGTAATAGTTTTTTCTCATTTCGGTGTAGCTTAGGGCATCTTGTCGACCATGACGTTATCTTTGAAATGGAAAGAGAATAGAAACGAACACAACCCGGTTGCTTGAAATTGTTTCTCACTTGCTCCATAGAATCTCCGGATACTTTGTGAGTAGACTGTGGGGGGCTGCTGGCTAAGTGAGGACACATGTCAGTTGAGTGGGTCACACGATGGCGAATTGCACAAGGTCTAACTTTTAAACCTGACGTCACCACGCCCCAGATATCTAGATCTCTATCACCCTTTTCACTGATATGCCTAATTCAGTATTGGCTGCAATTAGTGATAATAGCATCTTGTTATAGTCATAAAATGAGGACTTGCGAAAATGCTTTGCCTATTTCATCTCTTTCTCTCAATGTCAGCTGTCAGGGTTAGAAGCACAAACAATCCTTTTTCCATATACCGAAGGCCTCCAGAAACTCTGGCAGAGTAAGTGTTTTGTTCAGATGGTGATCTTCCTTCAATTGGAGAGATTACCCATTGAAATCAGTGTTCTTAGTTCTCCTGAGAAGATGGGCCAAATAGACATATTTACCTTGTTGGATTTTGGTCACCAGTGCCAGATTCGATACAGGAAGTCTTTCTTGAGGTCAGGGCATCCCAGCAGTGGAGTCTATCTGATAAGCTTCTAATGATGTCACAGTAGACGTGGGACAGGATCTAGCATTTCGTTGTCTATGCAACAAAAGCGTATTTTCTGCATTCAGCGCCCTTCTGTTCTAGGAATTCGGAACATTCGTGCCTAAGGCCTGCAATTTACTCCTGGCCATGACATAAGGAGAGGCAGTCATGTACCTTGTTTGCGGAAGCTCTTAACAATGGACACTTTCACTGTCAGAGTCATCAATGGAAACTGTCAATCTCATACGACTGGTGCGGGTATTATGGCAAGAAGACATAGGAACTCGTTTTGGGTGCATATTGCGTCTGCAGTCAACTTGTGGAACCCAGCAAGGATGGTAAGGATGATTGTGCGAGTTTGTAAATAAAATCAATAGAGTTAAAATCCTGTCAAAAATAAACAGAGGAAGGAAGTGGTCATGTGACCGGACTTTAACATATTTGGAAAACATAGACCGCGCATGTGTAAATACTGACAGATTAAAAATAGCATTGGCAAACCAATCACATTCTCCAGAGATGAATACAGTTATAAATAGCACAAAAACATCGGGAACCTGCGGAATTGAATAAATGTTAGTAAGCATTGACAGTGAATAAAATAGCTAAATTGCCAATGTAATTCAGATCTCAGATAAATTGATACTGACTCGAATAGGAGTGCAGACAAGAATTTAGCTGCTGCACAAACCAAAAAATATATTAACATTTAAACGAAAGTGCATTTATGAGCACCTGACAGATAAATTATCATTGTGGGCTGTTCACATTAAAAAACCATGTGTGAGTAGCATGCTCCCAATCAAAACTCAAAAATCCAAATTATGCTACATGCATTAACATGCACACGCAAACTGTAAAGAAGGCTGAAGAAGGAAAGTTTTTGTCAATAAGTCTACAGTCTGAAGACCAACATTGCAGAGCTGCCACGTACTTGATCAACAGAAGTGACGTCACGTATGTCCACGTATTCCTGCTTGTCACCCG